CCCGCGCGCAACAACACCTTGGCGGCCTCGGCCATCTTTGCGAATCGGCGCGGCGGCCTGTCGCCATGGCGTAGGATAGTCCACCGTGGTGGCGCCCGGGGGGGGGGGGGGGGAGAGATATATTGATAGATGGACGGAGAGAGAGAGACAGGCAGGCAGGGATCATCCGCTCAAGTGTGATCGTCGTTGCTGCGTGTTTCGTGCCTTTTGTTTGGCTATTGTTTTTTTTCGCACTTGGGCATTTGTTCGTTGGTAACGGTCGTTTTGACTGGGTTCTTCATTTTATTTTTTTGGGAGGAGGACGACGGGGAGGAATAAGACCGTTATCCTTCGGCCTGAGCCCAGCTTGGGTCGTCGAGGATGCGTTTATATGTGCTTCCGGGTTGACACGTTGACCTTGGCACAACCCTTTTCGTGGTCTGGGAAATGTGTTTCCGCCGCCGCCAACGTGGCGCGCGTGATTGGGCGAATCAGACGCAAAGAGCCCGGTAAACGGAAAGGCGAAAACCGCAGACGAACCCAGGGTGCACCCCAACACGCGGAGCTGCCTTTTCACGTTACACACGGCGACACAGGTGAAGCACCTTCAGACGGTGCACGCGGAGGACAGCAAGGCGATGCTGGAGATCATCCAGAGCAAGGGGGAGGAGCTGCTGCGGAGGGAGGAGGAGGGGAAGACGATGAGGCTGCTGTACGAGAGCGAGGTGATTTTTTTTTTTTTTTGTGTTTTTTGGCTTGCGCGGTCCCGAGCTTCGTTTGTGTGGGTTGTGTGTCGCGGTGCTCCGTATGATTCTGTGGGGGTTGGTGTTGCCGACTGGTGTGGCGTTCCGGACGTTGGAAAGTGGTGCTCTTCGCGGTTATCAAAGTTGTCCGGCGTTTACGTGATTGCTTGGCTGAACGAGGCACCTTTTGGTGCACGCGTACACACACACACATGACGCCCCTCACGGGGTCCTGGATAATGGCTTTTAGAAGCATGTTGTGTTTTCAACCGCACTGAGACTGACGTCTTTTCATTGGTCAGCCGGTTAGCGCGGTCGATGCTAATAATAATGACACACGGACACACAATGAACTCTCAAGCCCACCACACGATACCGCTCCCTCCCACCTGCTCTCCCCATTTCTCCTTGTGCTTCCTTCCTTGCCTGCCGGACCTTATCATCCACAACGATGCAGGTGACCAAGGGCAAGAACCGGCAGCACAAGATGGAGGCCATGCTGCGCTTGCTCGCGGAGACATCCGCTCCCATCGAGGACGCGGAGAAGGACGAGCTGTTGCACCACATGAGCAGCATGTACAAGGTGATGATGCGGTCGTAGAGCCTATCCCACACTGTCGTGTTCGCAACCCAAACACAGGGGCAATTGTTCTGTCTCTGGTTTTGTGCAGGTGGCAGAACTTGCGCTTTTCAACAGTACATACAGTTAGCAGTGTAGCACGGTTGACGCTGATGTTCAAGACACACACATCAGATAGCAGCAAGCGTGTTCGCAATTTTTTTGACGAAGCATTCTGGAAGCCTCAAATGTTTTCAGAAAAGCTTGTGCCCACACGGAGAACGACACCCTACTGCTGTGCAAGTTTTAACGTCTGCTTCGCCCGTTTGTCGAATGTTTCAACCAAATTCTGTATTGCAGGAGTGCGTTCTCGAAGATCCCAACGTGGTCGACGAAGTGGACACCATGATGTACAGCATGGGCATGGGACAGGTGTCGGCGAAGGCTACCTCCGCCCTGTCCAGCGCGAAGGCCTGGTTCACCGGCAAGAAGTCAACAGATCTCTTCATCTGATTCAATGGATCTCTTTGATCAAGTGGTCCGATTCGGTTTTACTCGGTAAAGCCAGCTTGTTCGTGTAGTTGATGCGAGGTATCTCCGTGAGGAGCTCGTTATTTGTGTGCGGCTGATGGCTAATATCGATTGCAACCAGGGGCTCCGCTCGGTCTGGTGCCCTAGAAATGCTGGTATTGTGTGGCCGATTGTGGTCAAGCCCGGCAGGCCTCCTACTTACTTGTAAACCGGTTGATAAATTTCCTACAGCAGTAGCAGTAGCAGCAGCTATTTTATTAGTTGGCCGCGTTGCCGGTGGCTTGTTGTCCCGCCCTGTGTTATAGCACTACTTCTGCTGTTTTTGCTATCGTGCGATGGGCCGGTGTATCTGTGGGTGTGCCCTCAGTTTGTGACATGGGGGGTTTTGCCCGATGTATCACGTTGATTTTCTCCCGGTGGTGTGGCCCGCTGCGGCAGCTAGCGCTAGGTAGCCTGAACGTCTGGTTTTTGAAGAATGTTTGACAGGTTTAAGCCGACAAGTGTTATTGGTTCGTTCGTTCGACGTGGTGTGCTTTGGATTGACGTCAACGTGGCGGCGTAGCTCGCGGGCACCTTGCTGTACAACGTTGCCTGGTGTAGTTTCCCCGTGGCGACTTTCTATCTTTTCGGATGCATCACGTATTACGTTGTTTCTCAGCCGTTTTCATGCACGCTCATCAGAGTCCCGCTCTTGACGATTGACTCTCTCTCGCCACCCCGTTTGTGACCGAACAATGCCACCGGTCGTAGTTGGAAGGGAGGGAGCATGCTTACCTCTCGAGTGCGAGACGTCGCAAGTGGTCATTCCTTTTTCTCTCGGAGCGTGGGATTTGCTCGTGGGTGGACTCTTGTCGGAGGTTGGGCCGTTGCTCGAGGAATGTGGACGTGTTTCATTCGAAGAGTTGGTTGGCGGTGTTTGCTGACGGAACTGGCGAAGCGGCTCGATAGAGTACCCATCTCGGGGTGTTGTCGCTCTCTTGTTCGTGTCCCCGCTGTTTTATTGTTCGGCAAGGAGGTGTAGTTTGGGCCCTTTCTGCGTCTTTGTTGGCCTCCTGCCTTGTTAAGCGCTCGCGCCAGCTGTGCTCCGCTGTGTGCCGGGTACATAGTTTAGTCGCTTTTGAAGGCCGCAGGAACTCCCATTTGTTGATTGATTATATATTCCCGTTTATTTTTCTTTGGTTGTTGTGTACTTTAGCCGTGTACCAGCTTTGTCTTTGGAGTATGATCACTTTGAACTCTTTTCCGTGGTGTATCATCTAGCGATCGTCTTCAGAGGGGATTTTTGTTGCATGTTCAAGCGTTTAGCGATGATGGGTTGGGTCGATGTTGGAGACGTGATGTAGCGCTCCCCATTGTCCACCCCTTGTCACCGAGATAGGTCCGCGGTGGATTGCGGGCGGGACGGCTCCCCCCAAAGCAGGCGGACAGTTGTTTTTGGTGTGTGGGTCTTGGCCGAAATGGGACACACATGACATGGAAGAAAGCGAAATTTTACAGTAACCGAAAAGGGGCATCATTATGCATGCAAGGAAGTGTACCTACGGTTCGCCCACGGTGGAGCGACAACAGCGCGTGTAGAATGCCGTGGAAGAATGACGTCGACGACATTGAAATGCCGGGGCACACTTTTTCGTGTTCCTCCTGCTTGCTTCGATATTTCCACCGGATGTATCTTTTCTCGTGGCCGTGCCGTATCGAGGAGGTTCTCTTCGGTGCCTATTGCACTACAGAGCTCTCTAACTCACAGTAGAGTTGGAACCCAATTGTAGCGATAACCTGTATCCAGGGTCACATCTCCCCAACATACCTCTCCAATACATCTCTGTTGAGTGCGTTTTCCCTCTTCCACACAACCTTCGAACGTCGGAAGACTGATGAATAAAATAAAACGTCTACCCGTGGAGGATAAATTCTTCTGGCAGACAAGTTATTCAGTGACAAAAGAGGTACAGAATAGTGTGCCATCTGTTTACATGTAATAGTCTAAGCCTTAACTGCGCTCATTGGTTGACCTACAGTATGAACGGAATCGAGACTACAAACACGTCTTGGCAGACGGTGATGCTGGGGAGAAAACTCGAATGAATGGACGAGAACGTCCGCGTGCACAGTAAACGGTTGTACAAGAAAGGGTTGAAATGCAGTACACAGGGTGGCCCCACGGTTTTACAGCTACAAATGAATAATGCAAATTGAGCGAGGTGCACGCAGGAACGAACGTGACAAGGATATATACCTACTGTTAGAGATGAGGTCCACTCTAAAGATCATTCGTAATGAGTCTGTTCTTCATGTTCACTTGTCACGAGTTTCCAGAGTTGCCCACCTAGGTGTGTGCAGGACACAGTTTTTCGTCCAACCTTGGATAGCGAGAGACTTACAATTTTCCATAAAAACAACAAAGAATGATACATAACCATCAACGGTAGAAAAGCGGGGTTTCGTTTGAGACGACCCTACAATTAGGCTGTGTATCCTGTGCTCGCCTTTGTGGGGCCGAGAATCAGAAGTTGAGCCTCGACCCGAACTCCAGGTCAATGGCCCGTTGGAGGGACGTGACTCTTTTCATCATCACTAGCCACTGCATCCTGTGCGCGTGGGAGAGAGAGAGAGAGAGAGAGAGAGAGAGAGAGAGAGAGAGAGAGAGAGAGAGAGAGAGAGAGAGAGAGAGAGAGAGAGAGAGAGAGAGCGAGCGATGTAGAACCAGTAACATCAAGAATTTCACACGCCAAACGCATGCCTGTTCGATGCAATCTGAACCGGCACTACACGGTCGTATGCACGCTTTTCTTCTATTATTTTCCTTAATATGACACAACGAATCCATCTCTATCATAGAAAAGAGTCAGAGACAGATTAGCAATGAATTCATAGCGTCAGAGAAAGCTACCTGTATATGTCTACGATTTCCCAGCTTTTGTGATTTTCTGCGATGAGAAAAAATACAGTTAGTCGTTGATCTCCTCGGTGCAACCAGATGAAACAGCTGTCCTTTATTCGCTGGATTCTTCGTCTATAAAGTTACAAATAAGCGTTGAATATTCCCTCAACCCTTGATCGTTGATGTATGTAGTACACAGACACATCATCCCATCAAGCCACTCGGCCAGGGGAAATCGACGAAAGTCACCTCCTGACCCCACTCTTCTTCCTCCTTCGTTGTGGTTGGTGTCGCCTGCCTTCTTTCCGCAGGTGAGTGTGACGGTGGGTACCGCACTGCTACGGCAATGGGCTCGGGTATGGTTATGTAGAGCACGTGTTTGCCAGTCCCTGAGTGAGATCGTACCAACGCGGGAGGCAGCCTTTGCCCAACGGCCTTACTCAAAGCAATATCATTCATTCATGCATTCGGCGACCCAGGGTGGCTGAGTTCTCCTTCTGACAGATGGCATAGCACGTACGTGCGTGTTTCATGTTGAATATCCTCGAGCAACCTGCGTGTGCGTGATATTTTCATTCGTGGCATCACTCTGTGATCATACCGCGGCTTTTGGCCAGTGAATGCTTACTGTACCCGTCTCCTGTTGCGTTTTTCGATTGTCCTGCAATTTCAGAGTATGGTCGAGTGTATTTATGGAGAATTTGTCATCATGTTGTATTCCTCCCAGGATCCGTAGAGAGTGTCACAACCAACCCCAAAATGACAACATCGTAGAGCACGGGAACAACATTCCTACAACAGGCAGGCGGTACTCATGGGATGGAAAGTAGTGTCATCACATGACAACCCTCTGAATACCATCGATGAGGGTGCTGTCGGCATTCACCACCGGGGCAATGTGAGCCTAATGAGTTTCCACCTGTTATCACCCCCCCCTCGGTGTTTGCCATCGGGATCGGGTTTTCGTCGCTTGGCAACGACGTTGTAAAACAAGCCAATTAACTTCGTGAACTCGGCAACCAGGTTACCGTTTTTTTTTTACCTCTGTTTTTTTTGGCGGTAACCATAATGGTGGTTGAGTAGACCATGTTGTGCGGGGTGGAGAAACCTCACTCCGCGCAAGGGGGATGATCGCACCACATTGTGTTAAAATGGTCAAGCATCCTCGAGACAGCTACACAGTGCTTACAACTGTCTCTGGGAGTAAAAGCACCAGAAAATAAATTAAGTCATACGTAGCTGTCATCCGTACGCAAGGAAGTAAGCACAAGATGCCGAATACCTTTAGCAGGATGCAGCTCACCCTTCATACGACTCACCAAATACCTCACGGCGCTTCGCGCTTGGTGATGTGAGAGCCTGGTCCGGTGAGAACCCGGCGTGGTCCGTCCCGGCTTTGTAGGGATGCGAGGTCAATGGTCTAACGACTACGGCATGCACGACTATGAGTACACCCCCCCCCCACCTCATTTCCACACGACTTTGCAAGTAGCTCGGCAGCAACGCTACTGCAGTTGCTGATGAATACACCTATACATGCCGTTCATGATCGAAACAGGTACTTCGAAGGGCCTCGGGTCAAAGTAAATCGCCCCTTCTGCGGGACGGTCATGTCTTGCACTTGTCGACCCACCCCGGGCGAGTGTTGCAGCCGCTCGCGTCTTACGATTTTCGGCTACAGCCGTCCCAAGCACACTCGGCTAAAATACACCCCCGCGCAAAAGACACATCATGCTTGTTCAGAAACGCAGGATATACTGTAGTGTAGTATCATTTACTCCATGGATCCCCCGAAAAACAAAATGAAAACGGCGCCGGCAACTAAATGGTGCTCCCCGAGGTCGGCCTGTGCAGCTGTGTGCGGTTTGTGTGGGTATGCGAGATTCCTTTCGAGCGAGGAGGAAGACAACGGTGGAAGGCCTGAGTGATGCATTCAATCACAGAGGCTGAGGTCCCTCTTCTTGAGTAGCTTCGGTCGGTCCGCTTTGAACAAGGGAAGAGAAGGGCAGGGAAGGGAAGGGAAGGGGTGGAAAATACGCGATATTCACAAAATGAAAATGGGAACTCGGCCGTTTTCTTGGGCCAAAAATCAGAGATTGAACCTTGTGACCCGATCTTGACGTGTCTTTACTGCCGGCCCGTTCTTCACTACTTCTCGTTCTTTCGAGGGCCAGCTGTGAATTCGTTCACTTATGAATCTCAAGTCAAGTGTTGATGGCGAGGGGAGATGCAAGCCACGATTCGCGTTTGTCTTATTGTGGAATTTTGTTTGCGTTTGTCCTCATTGTACACCACTGGAATACTGCTCAGAGGAACCAGTGGTGAGTTCATGACACCGTCGACCAGGCTGTTGGTATTCCATTCCACTGTAGCTACAAGTGACACAAAAATGGGAAAATTGTCGGAACGCTTCCACGACTTTTCCCACCGTTTTTTGTATGCAGTGGTCGGACTTGTTAAGGCGCGTTTTTGACGCATACAACATCACGCCTTCATTGACCCCGGCGATGGTGCAGTACTGTCTCCCAAAACCATGGAGACAATCCCCGTGATAAAGACACGAAAAATATCAAGACGAGGCGTGTCATTAAAGCGGGGTCGACTGACATGGCCTGTCTCTGTAGGTGTTCATCCCATTCAGTGTATTTGACGCATCAGCCGGCGGGTATCACAGGAGGACGGGCACAAGAGGATTTATGTTTCTTCTTGAACACCCCACTCTCGTCCCTTGGTACTTGCCATTTCCAACGGTCCACCGCCCCTTTCACAATTATAGGAGGCCTCATTCAACCCGGCACGTTGTACTTGCACAATCAATACAAACACACAATAGACTACCCATTCGAGATACAGCCACAATCGAACGGGATGTGTTGGAGTCATTGCAGTGAATGGATCATAATTTATTAAGCATTACATTTCCTCGTCAAGTCGTGGCGAAAGTCTGCTTTTTCGTCGTCGGTGGTCGTCTCAAACAGTAGCTTTGCAGCTGTATTGTTTGTTGCCCAAGAGTGAGACGAAGAAGAACTTTGATGGTGTTTTCGTCAAAAGGTTTCGGTGTGTACTGTAGTTCAAACTGAAAGGAGGTATGGATGGATTCGCAGAACATCTACTGTACACTGTAAGAACGAATACTCCGACTACTCAAGTTCACATTCATACATACGATGATGTATCGTGTACGTCACAACCTTCAATCAATCAATCAATCGAGTCCTTTTCCGCATCAGCACGGTGGGACCAAATGCCTCAACCGCGCAGGTAAGCATGTACATGAATTTGCTGGCCGCAGAATGCACGTTGTTGTGTGTATCGCTGAGGAGGTGCAACCTACTGTACCCAGCCATCACTGTCGGTTTGATTGCACGAAAGAGCAGCGCGGTCCAAGGCCATGGAGTCAAGAATATTTTCCTCCTTCTCAAGTGCAGAAAGTAAGGCTCAGGATATCACAAAACATGACGGGCATTCGGAAGAAAGTTGCTAGCGTAATACAATGCCGATTCTACACTTCACCCTACTACTATATAGACGTATTATTCTTCACTCTCACTCGAAGGTGGCCACGAACTAAGAATGGAGCCTCGACCGAAAAACTTGGCGAGTCCGAAGGAAAATTTCTCCATGTACATCGACAACAAACCTACCGTATTGTTTGAGCCAGTGCGCCAGCCGATGGTTTTACCCACCTCGGAGTCATTGCACGGGGGTGCCAAAAATACAAGGTCATGAGCTGATTGATATTTCCACATCGGGGTTGGTGTCATCGCACCGGGTGCGAAAACGCCGACGCACAAAGTATTTGACCCAACGTTGGGCTAGAGATTGCATGCTACTTGAAGAGCTAGTTGGTACTCTCAACGCCGTGAGAGTATCGTCTTGGCCCCACTCGTTCATGTCTTGAGACACACGAACTGGTTATCGCACGCGGGACCTGTATATAGCATCGTGGGACGCGTAAAGCCACTGCGTTTTGCCCCCACAGAACCGCACCCATCGGAGTCATCACACCGGGGGCGATCTCCTACATTATTTGACAAATGTGGGTAGCTTCCATAGAAGAATCGACAGATCGGGCAAAGCAATAAACTATGCGGCCAAGAACAGACGCGGCAGTTGACAGGGTGACCGAATTGATAAAACCTCCTTCATGCGAGTCGAGAACGGGTTCGAACAGTGCAAAGCGGACCCGTGTGTTTTCCGCAAGATGGTAGACGAAGTCGTGGTGATGATTATCGTGATCTATGTGGATGACATTTTGGTGGCTGGGTCTGACGAGGATTGTGAGGAGTTGCTTGCTTCTCTCAACAAGAAATTTCCCACCAAAAACCTTGGAGAGTGTTAATGGTTTGAAGAAAATATTTTTTTTCTTGGATGAAAATGTACGGTCTACTACATAGACTACATAGCAGAATTAGCTTTATTGCTGTCGTACGGCAAAACCTGACGTGAATTCTGTAGCAGCAAGGATGGCACCACCGACCGAGTGCTTCTCCCCTCGGTTGGTTGCAAGTGCCATTATATGGGGTCATGTAGCCGACACGTCGAGTACCATTTGGGGCCCTTCCATTCCCGGGCCCCTGACGCAGTGGCAGTCGGAGCTCTCTGGCGGTGTACAGCTTGTGAGCAGAGCGACATACGTACGGACTTTCGAGCGGGAACCAGGGCGCGAGGCTTGCGTGTGCCTGCAGTAGCCAACACCGCCTCTCTCCTCCTCTTCTCTCTCTTGCTGGCTCTCTAAGTTTGTACAAACCGATATATGGGCTACATAGTGCCCACGACCGATCATCTCAAACCATTGGATCGGCTTTGTTCGACTGCTCCGTCGGTTGTTTCGGTGGGTCGGGGGTGCGCTGCTTGAAAGCAGGTAGACGACGAGACCATTATAGCACCAGGCTGGGCCATTACCGCGTGAACGAAGTTGTTGGGAGAGGGGGTTTTGGACAGGCCGCTCGCTGCACTAGGATTGCCGACAACGAGGTGAGCGATGGATTCGTGGTTGGATTCATGCTGATCGCACTGACATGAAATTTGCGGTGCATGTCCTGGGTTTCTTGCTTGGTGGCAATGCATCACACGCAGTCGCAATATGATAATTTGAATAGCAGACCTCGAAAGCCCCGGGTGTGAATAAACCTCCCATTCTATCTGCTTTCCCAACGTGTCATCGAAATCCCCCTTGGCCCATCCCTCCCCCACCACAGGTGTGTATCATCAAGCAGATAAACATACCGATGCTCTCGCCTGAGGCCCGTGATGAAGTGAGACTGAAGAGGACGAGTGCGGGAAACTCCAATCTTGACTTGCAGATCAGATTACGGCAGAAATACGTGCAGCACGCCCGTTCGGTTGGGGGAAAAAACAAGAGGTATGGGTTGGCGGCCAGGCGCGGGTTGACGAGGTGGTTCCTCGAGATCCTTAATGGATATCACGGTTTTCCACGGCTGAATCTTCGTGGTCTGGAAGCGGAAGAAGTGACGTGTGTCTAGATCGAGAGAGAAATGGCCGTGGTCTGCAAAGCGCCCGTATCAAACCAGTTGAATCCCCACCCCCCACGCCTCCGCATACATCTAAACAGGCTCTGAAAGAAACGACTTTGCTGGAACATCTTTCTCACCCGAACATCGTGGGTTTATGGGAGAGCTTATTCCACGGCCCCTCCGAAGGGTTGCTTTGCATCGTCATGGACTACGCTGAGGGGGGGGACCTCGGTGACTATCTCATGAAGCAAAACGGACGGTTACTGGACGATGAACTATCTTTGACTGGTACGTTGTTCCGGGATTGGTTGGCAGTCATCACCGGTTGAAAGATCCGACTTTGTCCAATCGCTTGCTTCGACATGTGCCTCCCAACACGACCCCGCTCGCGTTCTGAAGGTCGCAAAAGCCACACGTTGTTCCGTTTGAAAATTACTGCAATTATAGCTTCAATGAACGTGTGCCTCGCAACTCGACCCCCGCCCGTTCTGAAGGTTTGTTCAGATGACTTCCACTCTGCGCTACATCCACGAAAAGAACATTCTTCACAGAGACCTTAAGCCGATGAACGTCTTCCTCACGGGCTCGGGGACGATCAAGCTCGGAGACTTTGGCATCGCCAAGGTTAGATCATGTGCAAAGAATTTCGCGCGGTATAGAAAACAGATGTCGCTAGTCATCATGATAGCCCTTGGCGCACGTAGCATCCACGATTGTTGTGTGGAAACCGGCCGGAAGTGAGGGTTACGTCTAGATACTGGGTCACGCTGTCGTTAGTTTTCTCACCAAGTGATATGGTATCGTGCGTTCTTTGCCGCCCGCCGCACTGCATGCCTCGCCAAGGTTCTGGAGTGCGCTGCCGATACGGCAAGCACGAGATGTGGTACGCTCGTCTACATGGCCCCCGAGGTGATGGGCGTCGAACCCTACGGTCACAAGGCAGACATGTGGAGCTTGGGGTAAGAACAGTTCAGGGGATTGGTTTTGGCTTGACAGAGATCGCCGGAACCACATATTCGCCAGCAATCCTAGCATAGGCGGATTTCGTACGAATGTTCCGGTAGCACCATTTGTGCCTGTCAGAGTAATATTGCGGTATCTACAACCGACCATTGTACACGCTCCTAGTGAAGCTATAACTCTGTTCCATAGTGCTTCGGGAAGCGCTACCGTTACGATATCTGGTGTTGGTTCATTTGCCGTAGGTGGAACACGGCGTCTATGTGGTTTTTTATGATCGGAAGAGACGTGCGGAGAAGAATCACATTGAGTGGACTAGACTTGATGCCCTGCGGAACTCCAGTGTTCTCTCGCACGTCAAACCTTTTACGTATCCTCAGCACCCAGCACTCTCTTTCGACCTCCTCGACGGTGTGTTCTGTACGAGATGACTCCACTGCGTCGCCCCTTCACATCTGTAGCGGAGATTCTCCAAGAACATCCGGAGCCGATCCCGGCCAGGTGCAATACATGACGCAAGTCGTCGTCGGAGGCGGGAACATGTCGCGCTCGGTGCGTTGTCATCGTACCCTCTTGGTCAATGTGGAGTGTTGGCCACCAGACGAAGTACAGGTCAGCACATTGCAGAGGCCCGTAAATAAGCTCAGTGCTAGAAAGCTCGGCGAAGTCATAGCCTTACAGTAGTTCTTTGCTGAAGGAATGGAACTAGAAATTCTGATCACGAGGACACTGTGACGGCCCGATACCCAATGCGAACGTCAAGTGAGGTGCATGCTTATCTAGGCTGAATCGAAGTCACCGTGGTGTTTACAATACGTTCCAGGTACAGCGCCGAGCTGCGGGGTCTTGTGAGAGAGTGCTACATAAAGACCCCCACGAACGTCCAAGCATCGACACAGTCTTACAAAGGCCTTTCATTTTGTACAAGGCGCAGGTCCGTGTCTTCATTCTTTACTTGTTTGGCCGGGAGGCGTTCGCATGTGCGTTGGTCATCACCAACACCACAAGCACTCCCAACAAATGTTTCCGTAGTCGACACTAGGACAGAATGTAGAATCGAGAGAACATAGACCTAGAATTGGTGTTTCGCCAGGGTCTTAAACGCCTTGTGCAGTACGATATTTCGTCTCGTTCTCAACCCGACGTTTCCGCGACATGCTTCTATCGTGACATCTTTCTGCGTGATGGCCGTGCTCACCTGTTACGTTGTCTTCTGCTAGACGAGAAAATTGGCCCGGCGCATGGTGGAAGCAATAGTGGAAGAACTCAAGAATGGCATGGCGGCCCAGGAGAAAGAAGCGGTAAGGGAGTTAACGTCAACCGATTCTGACTTTTCGCATTTCTGCTCTCATGCCGACCACGTAACGCACAGCAGGACCGAGTTTGTGGCGGAGATCATGAGCCCGGAGTGACGTTTTTCGCCAGGGTCTCAATCGTGTCAGTTCGCACTACATACTGTACGATCCTCCATCCTTTTCTCAACCCAGCGTTTCGCGACATGCTTCTATCATCTATGTGCGTGATGGACGTACCTGCTTGTCTTTGCCTCCTGAAGACGAGGAAGGTGACCCTTGCCAATGAGGCACGACGCATGGCGGAAGCAAAGGTGGAAGAACTCAAGAATGGCATGGCGGCCCAGGAGAAAGAAGCGGCATGAAAGTAAATGTCAACCGATTCTGACTTTTCGCATTTTTGCTCTATTGCCCACCGCAGAGCTACGGTATGTATCCCCGTGGAAAAAGCTTCGAAATCGAGCCCCGCCAGCTGGATTCTAAAGCACGATGGACTAGGGACACAGCGGAAAGTATCGTTTTTGTGGTGGTGGCTTCGCTTGGCTGCGAATACCAAAATAGCACAATAGCAAATAGCGCGTATTTTGGGCAGCGCCTTGTTGATAAGTCTTGACAAGATGTAGTACATAGTTTTTTGTTTTTTTGCGCTTGCTCTTCGGATGGCCGTGTGCAAAGATACGCCGCGTTTATTGTTGTTCTTGCTCGTCGACCTCTCTGCCGTGCTCTCTGCTGCGTTGCGGAACATAACCTGAAAGCCGACCTGAAGCGGTGTGAGGCAGACGTGGGAGATGTCGGCGTGACTGTGGAAAACATCAGCAGCGATTTCGCCGAAACGGAGTTAAAATATGCATATCGCATATATATGACATCCATTCTTAGCAGAAAAAAAGTGTCGGCATTTAGTAAATACTTGCAGTATAATGACATCGGTAGTGATCCGGTCTTTGTTGCCACAGCTATCTGTACGAGGATTGGTAGAGGCAATTCTCGCGTTTGTTTTACTCTTTATTTTGTGGCGTCCTAAACATTAGGGACGTTCCGTTTTGGCACCTTTCGTTTTTTTTGTGGACACATCAGCCGGGGTCACGAAAGGTCAAGGCCACACTGGATGTTATTTTTAGCTGGTGCGATTGAAAAAAACAATCAAACTCCTCGGACGAAACCCATGGTGTAGACAATTACGCCAACGCAAGACAGAAGACCGTTTGCAAGCGGCGGCAGTTTAGAAAATCCCGCCCTCCGATCCCTCTCTTTCGAAGGTGGGGGCATAAGTTCGGGAAATTCGGTATCTAGTCGGGTGTTGTAGAATGGTGTGTACCATTTGAGGACTTGGTCAGTTTTGGGACTCTTGCGGTTGCAGTCGTAGTCCCCCGGCTAGTATTTGTGGGGAGAGAGATGGATTTGTAAGAGTTGACGCCGGCCTTCGCAGCTAACGCGGCCGGAGAGACGATGAGGGTTTCGTGCGTCTCTCTCCCCAACACGTAGCCTAGAAACCGAAGAAATAATGAAGCAATTCGAAAGAAAACAAAACAAACTGTGAAGTACTTTAATGGCCGAGAAAACGGATGCCCCTGACACTTGTCGACTGAAACGTGCCTAAGCGATGAATCGGAATATAGTGTCGGCGTGGACGAACCACAACTCACAGATCGCAAACATTAAGAACCCTATAAAAAAGACATGTGATTTCGTAGAGGAGCCTGCGTGGAACCGAACAATGGAGGCCACTGATTGCGAGCAAAATGCGAGAGCAGTGGTTCAAGGTCTACGCACCGTGTATGAGAACATGCTGTGAAGTTGACCCACCGTTAGGTCATTTTGGCTGGGGTCCCCGGTACGTGAAGGGTATAGTACGTTACAGATTGCAACGCCACATGGCCGCTTTGATGTGCGGGGTTCTTTGCTGTTCGGCCGGAAATATAGGTGAGCAAGAGTACCGGTAGGTTCGTACGTGGTCTCCAATCGGTTCCTTTGCAGACACGTGTGCCTCGAATCACCCTCCAAACACGAGGGTGGACCAGGTGTGGCTGGTTTGTCGGGGACAAGCTGCTTGAGTAACAATGTTTGTACACTACATGGGTCAACATTGGAGCAACAGGTAGTACAAGGAACATCACGGACATAAAAGTACCAAGGGACGGACAGGTAGTACAAGGAATTACCTCTCCCATCAGGCCGCAAAAAAGGACTTTTTCGGGGAAAATCGCCACGACAGCTTGAACTGTTTGAGCTCTAATGGGTCTATATCCATATTATTATATAATTGGCACTCCAGATTGAACAAAGGAACAAGGGCAATGTTCCCAGCCCAAGCAATAGCGTGATAAGAAATAATGTATTCACGCTTTCTGTATGGTTGAACCGATCCCCAAGGCTTGACACCATCGATTCTCGGCCATGAAGGTCCGTTATTTCGAGTCGACAACGACCGAAAAGTATATTTTGTGGCCCCGTATCGCGAACACTGTAATTCTGCCACCACGGCCACCACCACACCACCAACGTTCACCGTCGCCATTCCGGCAATTCTCTTGCTTGCAGAATGTAGTTCGGGGACACGAACGGAAATTCCTGAGGGACAGGTAGGTGCGATAACCCTCCCACCGCTTCCAAGCCCGACACACAAGAAGTGCTTGCACGGGCGTTTCTCAGACCCGCCATGCCCGGCCTCTCCATCATCGACGAGACAGGAGTATCGCACTATCACAATTTGAAAGTGTGACACAACAACACGCAACGCAACAACAACGATAGCAAGTAACAACAACGGGTGACAACCATGACCTCACCACCACCACCACCACCACCACCACAAACAGATTGAAGACACATGAGTGTGCACTACAAGCGTATAGGGGAAATGCGTAGTTTCCGAGTACCTTGATAACATGCGTACCAAGAAACGCCGCTAGAGCAGACTCTTCCGAAGCCACTTTGCAGTGGAGAGGGGCCGGCGTTGTTGGACCGCCCGGCTCTATCTCTCTCACCCATCAATAATGTCCTAGACTGGAGAAATGCTCCCCACGGATATGACATTTGAACATCCAGCCAAGTGGCCGGGGGGGCGGGGGGCGGGAGGTTGACCTGTAGTACATGCACTGTCTACTCAGCCGCTGGAGTGGGATTGACTCGAAAGTTCAATGACACGGAGGGTGGTGTGCATGGGGTACAACGCGAGCTATGCATACAACGATGCGAACTCCGAACTCAGGCAATGTAGCATCGAAGCGGTTGTGAGCTGGGAATGCGTCAGTAACGACTTTTTAGGCGGGCACAGGCGGGTTGTCAATATCATACGCGCTTATTTTTTGTTCGGTGGGAGGTGGTTTCGCGTTGTTGGAGGGGAATAACTTTGGCGGAGGCGGCCAAATCAGATTAGGGCGATGAACGTTGGGTAGACATGCCATATTCGGTGGTACTTGTTCATACGGTAGGATGTTTTGCGCTTTCGACTGTAACGCCTCTGACGGAGGCCAAAAAACCTCGAACACGGCCATAGTACTGTGCCGAGCTTCCCGGCCCCTTTTGCCTGGCCGTCACAGCCGTCGACCACGGTTTCAGCGCTGCCTTGGGACTTTACCGCCGACACGCTCTCATCCGCTGGATCGCCCGAACCAGGCCGCGGCAAAGTCGTGCCGGACTCAGCCTCTACACTGTCTTGATATTTTCCTCTGCACTGCGCGTTGTTTTGCTGGACCACGCACGGCGTGAATGTGTGTCGTGCGCGCCCCAGGCGCCCTTGCCAACCATCAAGGAACCCGAACCAAAATCTAGAAGAACCAAAGACAGACGACCAATAGCAATGTTCGCTTTTGCCGCATCTTCGCCAAGTCGATACCTCTGCCGACTAAGCCACCATCGTTCATTTTCCCTTCGGTTGTACGGTCATACTTCAAGTATTGCGGTAAAGTTTTCGACGGTACTCTATTGCCGTGTACGGCGGCAATTGGTTTGGGTAAGGCAGTCGTGCAATTTTCGGCGGTAGCGAGTTTGCCGGAGGCGATAGACCTCCAACATGGCGGTAGTTGTTCGGCGGTGTTCCTATTCGACGGTTTTCGTTTTAGCGGTTCATGCAGGCGGTTTTGGTGTATTCAGCGGTATCGAGTTTGGTGGCACCATGAAAAAAACATCCTTCGTATCGTATAGGCGGAAAACCGGTGGTTTACCAGTAGTCCGCTACCCAGGGCAGGGGGGAAACTTATCAGGGAGATAATTTTCGACATATTATCCCTTGGTTAAATGTGAGTATGTCATCGAATATCCAGGCCCTTCCAATCAATATGACTTGCAGAAACGCGGCTTCGGGGGGATATCTTGAGGTACAGCAATGAGCGAGAAACAACAGATGTCCCTGGAACCGATGGACATGTCTAACGACATCTTCAGGGGGACATCTCGACGTTCTACGATGGGCGAGAAACAACGGATGCCCCTGGGACGAAGCAACTTGCAGCAGCGCGGCTTCGGAGTATCATCTTGAAGCCTTGCAGTGCGCGAGAAACAACGGATGCCCTTGGGACGAAGCAATTTGCAGTAGTGCGGCTTCGGGGGGTCATCTTGAAGTCTTGCCGTGGGTGGGAAACAACGGATTCCTCTGCAACCGATCGTCGTGCCGTCGCACGGCTTTAGGGGGGAATGCTGCGCGAGAGGCAACGGCTGTCCCTGGGAGGAGGTAACGTGCTCCAACGCGCCTTCTGGGGGGCAGCTTGGAGTACTTCAGTGGGTCGGAAACAGTGGTCGCCCCTGGGACAGAGGGGCGTACATCAAAGCGGCTTTGGGAGGACATCTCGAACTCCTGCAATGGGCTGGAAGCCACGGATGCCCGTGGGACGAGGAAACCTGCAGTAGCGCGAATCGGGGGGGCACCTTGAAGTACTGCAATGGGTGAGAAACAAAGGGTGCCCTTGGAACCGATGGACTTGCAATAACGCCCCGTCGGGGAGACATTTAGAAGTATTTCAATGCGCACGAAGAAACGGATACCCCTGGGACGAGGCAGCATCTTCTAATGCGGCCTCGGGGAGACATCTTGAAGTACCTCAATGGGCGAGGAACAACCGATGCCCATGAGATCGACGCACGTAGGGAAAAATCGACAACAGATGTCAATGAGATGGACTTGCCTCCACAAGCGGCTTGTGACTGGCATCACGACTTCTTCGAGTGGGAGAGGAAAAACGAATGACCCTTCAATCGGAAATAGTTCAGCGATCATTAAGGGTTGGCGTGATCCGCCAAAGCTGACCCGCCGCTCATCAAGACAACGATATCACGAAACCTGTCCTACACGAGCCTGGCATGGCGCTTTTGTAAATGGGATTCCGACTTGCTTCAACGGATATTTCCCAACAACCTTACGATCGATGTGGTGTCATCGTAGTACAGTACTGCCAACGACTGTACGATTTTGAAGTACCGTGCAGGGATTGCGATCGAATGAATTTCGTCTTTTTAAGCACCGCGGGAGCCCCTTCGCGGTATTACTCGCCCCAGGTGCATTGGCATAGCGCTTTTCCACGAGTAGCAGCTATCGGAACCATGATACCTGCGAAGGCGCCCAAAGTCGACGAAATAAAGTATGATGTCAGATAAGAAAAATAGCCAAGGACTCGCCGAATATCAAGTCGAAAATATACCCTGACGGGCATATGTACGTAGGGTGAATGCTCCATACTTGCGTGACACCAGCGACAAGTTTTTTCTTCAAACGTAGCGAAACCCCTCCAGAAACTATTGTAGGGTTCTCTTGGAGGACTCATGAATTGAATGCCACCTACTCAAGACAAGCTGGCTTAGGGTTGACGGACTATCTTGGACCGTTAAACCACTCTCGCGGACGTACACCACTAACAACATGAGCAGCTCCGAAGGATGGCATTCGGGGGCTCACAGGGGTGAGCATTAAGGGGAGCGCTAAGATTACGACCCCGGCTTTGAGCCCCCCTCATCCATGTGCCCCAGAGGCCCGAGGAAACGCTCGGGAAAATGTAGATACCGGCACACACAGGAGCCGGCGACAAACGTTCGTAAGGGTTGGATCGTGATGCAAGGTGTGGAATTGCGCACCGAAAAAAAAGCCTTCTTTTTATCTACGGTACACTGCCGTTGTGCCGAACTTCCTAAACCCTCCAATATAAACCGCAGTAGCTGCCCAAAAGGCAAATAGTGCAGTATGTGCACGCACACACTCCAAGGAGCACATAGATACACATCAAGTTCTTCTCACCGTATGCAGGATGATCACGGGGCTGCCGTGTACATACACACATAGACCAGCAGTGATCTAGGGACTCCAAATATCCACAACAGTAACACAACGAAAGGAAGCTGAGTTTTGCAATCCATCGCACTACCACCGCAGTCGTACGTGGGTGGGCAACGGAAATACGAAGCCCAGTCTTCCTTGTCTGTCGCGATCCTCATGCAACACACGCCACCCTCGAACAACACTCCTGGCACCAGCGAAAGGCAGACGGGGTGGGGAGGCCACACACTACCTGCTGCTTGTACAATCCATGAACGATGGGCACTAGGGCATGACGAGCCCTTCCCCGAAGTCCATCCGGAGACCGGTGCCCTCCATCTGTTGCATGTAGATCTCGTCGAAGGCCTCCGACTCTCTCGCCGTGTACACGTCCCGCCACCCCCCGGCGCCCCCTTTGCGCAAGTGATTCTCGCTGGGCTTAATGTTGGCCTTTGGGTTCTGCCTCATAGAGTCAATGGTGGACGCGGCAGCCGTCTGGAGGGAAGGCCCCGACAAAGAGCAGTACATGACAAAACAGATTGACAAGAGTGAGCATCAGCTGTATCGGTATCACCCACGAACCCTCTCGTTCCTTTGGCTTCTCTCATTTTCCCTAAACCTTGTTCGAGGCAACTTGGCTGCCCTTGGTAGCTAGCGTGCTTTGGGGTCTTTGGGACTACAATCCATCTATCTATTCACCCTTCTGAGATAGGTTGATCAAACGGCTTCAACGGATGTCCCATAGCATGGAGAGGAAACAGACATTTTGGTGCTCGCACACCTTAGCAATCGTTTCGGGCGTGTGCTCGATGCCTGCGAAATCGGCGATCTTCCGGATGTTCTCCTCCGGCTCCTTGAGCATGTTCTCGTAGTGCAGAAACAACACATGCTCGGGGTCCGCCTGAGCTGCCTCCCACCACTCGAGCACGTGGTTGAACCACGAACCGTTCTGGCACCTGCCGACCGAGTGAGACACGAGACGAGCAGACAAGAACCGCCTCGAATCAAAGACCTCCATGTGCCCGACCGTTCATGGTAGTGACACGCACGGGGAACATCATCGAAGGGGGTGCGAACGTCGTCGACTAACGGTTTGGTGAAGCCGCTAGTAGCTTCCCAGTAGAGGTTAGGGGCGAAGGGGTGATACCTGGAAATTTGCAAACAAAGAGAGCATGATATCGATTCTGTGCAGCAGCCTGCTCGTTCAGGGTGCCCGTATATGACTTCGATGCAGGTTGAGCAATACCTTCAACAGAATTCTTAATTTGTGTCGCAACCGCTCTACAGCGTCGGTTAGTAACCCCCCCGGACGCTCAGCATGCAAGGAATATCTATGGCACTACTTACTATAGTTTTGAGTGCAAACTACCGCATGGAGCGAGTTCGATTCCCTCACCACCAAGGGCGGAATCCCGCTCCGAAAACACCAACAGAGCATTTGCCGAAAACAGCATGGCCGTCGGGGGACGACAGCGTTCGAGCTGACCATCGGGAGGGAGGTGGAATCGCTGTGGGCGCCGTGGTCCACGCACACCAAGGGACGGCAGGCGGTGAATGGGTGGGGGTCAAACCGACCTGGGTACAAGTTAAGCCTGAATCGCGGTTGTTCTCATTAACTGTGGTCGAATTAGAGTCGCCATTTCTTTTTCATCTTGCTGATTTGACAAAATTTGAATAACGGCAACCTGTGTATGAACCTTTTCCTGCCTGTGCACATAATTCCACCCACATGATTACACACCAACACAACTCCAGTAGACTCCAAAAACAACAGTGTTCAGACGCTTCGACTCCGGTGTTTAACACCCATTCCCGGTGTACTCGCCTCCCCTGGACGAAACAGCGGATCATGTCCGACTGGTCCCCGTCAAACACCGCCTTTTGCTTGTGGCGGACGTGGTGGAAAAGGCTAACACTGACGTCTTTGGGGTTCCGCGCAACGTAGATAACCTGTTCGTGCAGGAGGCAGTTGTTGAGATACAAGGGCGTCATGTATTGGGGACAAAGGGAAACAGAAATATATGCAAAAAGGGCGCATATCACGTACAAGTTTGGATACGTACGTTCAGAGGCTAACACAACTGGCTACGGATAGCAGTTGGTACAACTTGACTCCTGCCAGCGCCGAGAAAAATCCAGTTTCACGTACAACTAACTTCCGAAATACCAGCACTGATGCCAGGCAGAACACCCCGTGGATTGTGTGCTGGTCATTCGCACACGAGCTTCGGTTCCTGACCTTTAGCCCTTTGGCACTGCCCACCGGCAACTGCTTGAGGTTAGAGTGCGACTTGAAGAACCGCCTGTTAGGTGTCGACTTGATCTTTTCGAGCGTCCAGCCCTGCGCCTGTTGTGGTTATGGTCGTGGTTTGGTGGTGGGTATGGTTTGTTGGCGGCGTGTTGGTTACAGAAATCAGCTACACGTGACGACATCAACTCAAAACCAGAGAACAAATAGTATATCCTTGATGCCCTCGGATGCGACACCAATTTTTTCACGAATCGTCGAATGACAGCTGGTATCGCTCGATGTGTACCTTGCCCGCGCACTCTTATAAACCAAACCCCCTTTGACCAACAGGCTTGGCGTCGATCATGCATTCACCTGAAGTCATTGTGTAGCGGTATTACTGCAGACAGTGCGAGACGACCCTAATCCTTTGGGTGAGTTTCTCGTTCTTGCGCACAACCCTTCCTTGGATAATATGCTAACGTTGGAAGTGAAAAAAACCTCGGAAGAGTTGTGGATGTTGACTGTCCAGTGATATCTGGCGCAGGGAAGGTTTATCATCAAAGGAGCGACGAACCCCCCCAGCCGAAACTGGAGGAAGAGGTTGAAAACAACAATACAACCTAGTTCCTTTCGTGCTTCCTGCCCCTTTGCGTCTACGTGAAATGTTACGTAGCCCACACTTGGCTTCGCCGACCTGGCAGGACGACATACCCTGCTGCGGTTTTGGGTTGTGGCGAAGGCAGAGCTGGCTTTGAGGCTTTTTGTGCCATGGGGGCTATCGATGCAGCTGAATCCCCCGCAACCACAGCCCCCTGAAGGAACTCACAGAAGTCGATGGATTCATGACCACTCATGTCATTGTTGACTGGGCATGGTTTGGGTGTGTTCCTGCACTTGCGAGTGACGAGGGGTTGTTGCGAATGACGTGTCTGAGTAGGTAAAAAACAACGCATTTTTCTCGTCAGTGATACGAGTGTTTGCACCTAATGCACCCACTTTGCTGGTTCACAAATTTCGTGGGATAATCACGTGGGTACATGGACATTGCATGGTAGGATCGACACAACCATGGGTTCACTGTTTGCCAAGGGTCCCATGAAACAGCTCGGCGCAGTGGGACGCAAGCGCGGCGTCCAGAACGCAAAAATTTAGCAGCTCAACGAAGAACCGGTCACAGAGGTCGACAGCAAATCGCACGAACGCCATTTTGATCCATTGGTAGGGGATCGAAGTACAGTATTGTAGTCTGCTCCCTCACCTCGCGGTCCCGTTCATCTTCAGGAGACGGGTTCTCCGGCTGCCTAAACAAGAGCGATTCCATCCACGGCACGACTGAAGTATAGTTCTTCTCCCCCTGCTCTCCCTTGTTAAGGAGCTGCAACCACGAAAGAACATCACGTATTACACAAATACACACCGTCAGTGACGAGCACGCTGAGTCACATGTAGTGCAAACCCAAAATGGGGGAGAATTGACGAGCCTCATTGTCTTGGGTGACAATCGAACGACTTTGGACATAAGAATCTTTGAAATGCTGTAGATGGTCGGCCTCCTTGGCCGGCGGCGCGATGGCGTACCATGCCGACGGCCAACAGACCTGTCCTGTCCAAGCGATGCGATGCTTGCTGTTGTTCTCCAGCTCATCCTCGTCGGAAGAATTCCACGTATGCACTCATACGTGCGCACGACGAAGTCACGAGTACAACCCATCCATCGACAACATTGCGGATACGTTCATGACGATATTGTAGGTGAGCATGACACAATATATTTCGAACGTCTTTCCTGTGCTTGGGGCGTCTTGCTATTCCCAAAACGCCACATATTTACCGTCCGATCTCCTCCTGTGGGGGTGATTCCACCCCGACCCAATACCTCGTGCGCCACGCTTGCCAACACAGGAGAAACGAACAGTAGCACGTCATTTGTGTGCCCAAACCGAACGGTCGTCCCAGAGTGAAACGGGATCGTAAAACCGCTGTCGTTTCTTGAGGAAAACAGAGCATAAAGCAATACAAGAGGGACGCCACAAATACATGGAAACTCAACAATGTGCAATAACATGGGCAGCCAACGTCGTTCACACTTGGGTGATGGGCGGTTTGGTGCCCCCACGAGCCCCCATGCCCCCCCCCCCGCAACAAATGCCTCTCCCAGGATGACTGCGCCCTGTATCCCGCCCCCACTATAAGACACTTTCTCAGTGCGCGAACACCCGCACGCTCGCTTCTAGTGTGTCCCCCGCGTGATTTCGTCTAGGCCAAAAAAAGTGGCCGGTACTCTGAAATTGAACTACAGTAGTTGGCGCTCAATGGACAAAAATGAATCAGTACGTCCCAGGTCAGAATAATGCATCGCTCGGTCACTCCCTCTCTCACCAGAGTGATGATCTGCTGGGTCAACGTCGTGCCCGACTTGACAAACGTGCACACGAAAACGTCATCGTCTCTAGTTTCGAACGTTCGAATCAGCTCGTTCGTGGCGTCTTCCTGCTGGGACCAAGTCGACGCACGTAGAATAACCAGGAACACCCATCAGCACGGCCAGTTGTTCGTGTCCAGTGTGAATGCGAAGTGGAACGACAGTCAGCGTACAAGCAAACGAAACTGACTTCAACAACGTCAAAAGCGCGGGATTGTTAGAACACTAAGGGCGTCGTTGGGGCGAAACTCACGAAAACAATTGGAAAAGGATGGGGCCACAGTCGCAAATCCACACCACAATTACCTAAACAAAACAACGCACCGGGGATACGAACAAGATCACTCTCCGCAGAGATCTATGTGACCCCACTTCGACCCGTAGCAGGAAGCGGATGTGCAAGGGAATGGCCTTACTGGACGCAGATTGTTATTCTCTACAAATCTTTCGTCCTCGATTTTTTTGTTTGAGGTCCACAGGCTAGGTTCCAGCACTTCCAGACGTTGCAAAGTCCAATCTTCGGACTCTCATAATGTGGTGAATTAGAGGCGCGCCCCGATCGACGGCACCCGAAGCAATAACATGAGCCCACTGACGTGGTGTGTGAGAGGCGTCGGGTGCCCGGACTCCGGCAAAAGGCAGCCTCAAAACAACCGATTGTGACAACGTTGGTAGTTTGGCTGGTCCAAATTTACGGGTCGTTTTTCTGAGGTTGATGTGGTAAGGTGAGCTTCTCGAGTTATCTCTCAATCGGTAAAGACTGACCCCAAAACGGATTTACCTGAGTAGCCATGGTCTACAGCAGTGTGTATTGTTGATATTTTCGGATGTATCTCTATTGTACACCACATACTAATACATACATTGTACGGTACTTCTATATATCTAACCTTATGACGCATTGGCCCGTCAAAATCGGGTCGAGGCCACAAAAACCTTGTGTCGGGTCGAAGGACCAACCGAAATACGTGCCAATATACTGACTCTTTTCTATGATAGAGATGGATTCGTTGTGTCATATTAAGAAAAAAAAAAGAAAAAGGTGGAAGCTGTCCCATCTATCTACCGTTTTCTTATTGCTTACCAAGAATAGCTGCAGCACAACAAACATTTCATCAAGCTGAATTAGACTGTCAACCGGATGCTCGATGTGGAAGCATGTGGGGTTATCGCTCTCGTTGACTTCCTGATTCCTTCCCCTTGGTCCACCTCCACCAGCAGCACCCACATCCCAACGGCCTTGACTTTTCATTCGTGCCATACGACGCCAACGCAACATTTAGCGTTTGGGGGAGGGAGTGGGTGGCACGGGGGGAGGAGTGGCGATGTTTCTTACTCAACGCACCTTGGCACAAGCTACGTTTGTTTGTCTCTTATTAGGAAAAATAAATACAAACTAGAAAGACCACCCATTCGAGATACAACCATATTCGAACGGGATGTGTTGAGTCTTTGCAGTGAATGGACGGAAACCGGCTGGGTACTGGGCTCATTTCGAGTCTGTTTAAGCCTATACACACTGAAAATTAAATTGTTTATCAGTGATGCCAGCAGGTGCACCACAAAAATCACTGTATGCAGTGGGTAAAAAAATACGACAAGACGTCTCCCCCGTAGTTTTCTTCATCTACGGGTCACCGACAAGAATATCGCGGAGAAACCCTCCGTTATGTCGTGTGTTGTACTTTTGAAGTAGTTTTTTGCTTCCACAGGAACACGTCGCAGTGTCTCGAGCTTGCTGGATATATATTGCTCCTGTTGATACGATGCGGCAACTTTCCAAATAAATCGAAGCGGACCAACTTCCCTGTGTCTTGCTCGGTTGGATGACGCGTCTAGTCCCTGTCTTTTGTCTCTTCTTCCGTTTGGGGTATCGGTCTCATCCTGCTCACGTTTTGTACTTGAACGCGCACACTATTGGCCTGTGCTCGGTAGGTGATCACCGAAAATCACCGAATTTGAAAAAAGTCAGCGAACAAACTGAGGAATTTGAATCACCGAAAAAAATGTGGGCGATCACCGAAAACGGGAGGTGCCTCACCGATATTTGGTGACGCTCGCCGATTTTCACCGTTTTTTTGAAGCTTTCAATTTTAAGGGGCTCCTCCGTGGATAAAGTTCTTACCCCGAAACCCCATCAGAGAACCCCTTCTCAAGCCCGAGACCTCACCAAGCACAGCAGCACCGATTACACACAACCTAAACACCGCGCTGCAGTATACGGCGCAGTTCTCAGGTTTTTTGCAGTCGGTCGCCAAAATCATAGAATCTGAAACAATTCACCGAAAAAAACGAGGAATTTGAATAACTGCACCGAAAAAAAGCTGGTCGATCACCGAAACCGGGAGGCGCCTCGCCGAAAATGACCGAAAAGTGCTCTTCGGCAGCTCGCTCATATTATTTTTCATCACCGATTTTCACCGAAAAACGTTTTTCGGCAGCTACAACAATCACCGATTTTTTTCGTGACAATCGGAAAAAATCACCGAAAAAAAAAAATCCCCAACCGAGCACAGGCCTACAAGCAGTAGTATCGTTTTGCCTATTGTTCACGGATTTGTTCTCATCTTCGGGTCCGTACAACACTGGTTTCGTTACAGCTCCTTTGGGTGGAACCGCTCCACGCTGATCGATGTGATACGCTCCCCCGGGGGTGACAATGAGTTGTCATCTGAACGTGTCCTTATGTAACCCACTCGGTGTTGTGTGTCCAGGACTTTGGATATATATCCCCTGGAGATCTGTTGAGACTACTAATTTTTCGGTCCGAAACATTCCGAGAACGACCCAGTCGCAGGTTATTTCAGCGGTCCCCAGCGATGCCGGTTCGCAAAACAAAATTTGCCTCTTTTATAAAATCTCCAAACTTCAAAAAATACATAACTACTTGTACTACAGTACACACTGCTCTAGTCTACATCGACTGTCACCGGTACCTACATACATACATATGCATACACACCGGCATACATACCCTGTGTACAGCACAACCAACCTCCTCCGATGGCAAAGCAACTGCTGTGTACATGCTCAAGTAGAGCATGTCGGGAAGCTGGTGGCATGGCCAGCCTTACCCTACCGTCAGATGACCGGAGGGCGAGATGGCTGAGATGCTTATTTTTGCGGCCGAACAGAACTATAATACACGAAGCTTGGCGGGCGGGCGTCTCTTGTTCATGTCTCCCCAAGACCACCAATTGAAAAGCAACAAGCCGAATCAGGGCAGTGGCGGTTGCCCTCCGTTTGTTCGCGGACGCAAGGAAGGGTGCTGTCCCAATTCAGACGGACGGGCAGAAAAGGGAGGCGACAGCAGGAGCCTTGGGGAAGTTTCGGAAGGCCGAAGCTCCGGCCGAAGCTCGGTGTGCTGCCTGGGAAAACGAAGCCTCGAGGCAAGGAGCTGGGGCATCGGACTTGCTTGATAAATTGCGGCTGAAGGACGAAGGACGATGTCATCTCTTCACTGAGAATAATGTTGCTGGTGCAGGGTATGGTGAGAACGACGGCAGGCAGGCGTGTGGAAGGCACAGAGTCGGGTAGGGGGGCAGGCGGGAGAGGAGATTCAACCACACGATCCTGAAGCGGTTGCAGCCAAGCGCAGCGCGTAGTATCTGTGGTCCCGTAAGAGCACCGTCGCTTCTGGATCGTGTTCGTGCGTAACCTAGAGGGGCTCGCCGCGTCCGGGAGGGTGTTCGACAACGCTACCGTCGCTTGTGATGTGGGTGGCGACCATTATTGAAGCGAAACAAGTGACATCACGTCGGAGTGAAGAGATGACATCGTCCTTCGTCCTTCAGCCGCAATTTATCAAGCAAGTCCGATGCCCCAGCTCCTTGCCTCGAGGCTTCGTTTTCCCAGGCAGCACACCGAGCTTCGGCCGGAGCTTCGGCCTTCCGAAACTTCCCCAAGGCTCCTGCTGTCGCCTCCCTTGTCTGCCCGTCCGTCTGAATTGGGACAGCACCCTTCCTTGCGTCCGCGAACAAACGGAGGGCAACCGCCACTGCCCTGATTCGGCTTGTTGCTTTTTCAAGTGGTGGTCTTGGGGAGACATGAACAAGAGACGCCCGCCCGCCAATCTTCGTGTATTATAGTTCTGTTCGGCCGCAAAAATAAGCATCTCAGCCATCTCGCCCTCCGGTCATCCGACGGTAGGGTAAGGCTGACCATGCCACCAGCTTCCCGACATGCTCTACTTGAGCATATATACACTAGAGCAGTGTGTACTGTAGTACAATTTGTAGTAGTATGTATTTTTTGAAGTTGGGAGATTTTATAAAAGAGGCAAATTTTGTTTTGCGAACCGGCATCGCTGGGGACCGCTGAAATAGCCTGCGACTGGGTCGTTCTCGGAATGTTTCGGGCCGAAAAATTAGTACAGTTTCCCTCCACTCACTGAAAAGACTCCACCACATCCCGTTCGACTGTGGGTATATCTCGAATGGGTAGTCTTTCTGTGTGTGTTTTCATTATTCCTTATGTCTATACACTAGCCTACAGTGTGATGTGACGTCACGCAACGTTCACGTTCTTGATGGAACAACCACAGCCAGCCGTCTCGAATACAGCAGGACTGCCGTAGAGACCTCAAGGTCTGCATAGAATATTGGGATGCTGTAGATCGCTGCGTATACTGTTGTACACAAGTGCTCGCAGCGGTACCTCTCTATACGCTCTGAAGGGCAATCACTCGTTTCGATGCTACGATGCCTCTCGTCTGCATACATGCCAGTGAGCAGGTTGGGCGTCAGCAGCCGCGTTCAACACAGAAGACTTGGACACAAAGTTGAGCGAGCGTACACACCACACCACCACCCCGTCAAACCCCATCGAAATGAATCAGTTCTGTTCTGTTCTTTGGGTGTTTGGGTGGCACCCACCTCTTGCTTGAACATCTGGTACACCCCATTCACAACGCTAAGGGTAAACTTGACTTGCTTCTCCTCCATCATCGGGAGCCACGCCGGCACCGCCATCCTCGGCCTCGTAGGCAACTCACGGAAAGGCATAATCTTTCTCCCATCGGAGGACGACATCCAACAGAGATGTGCAGAGATGGGACACCCCTTCCTTGTCTTTCTGGTCGAGATTCCAACAGCACTGACTGCTGATCATGTGGCATTTTTTTTTTTTTCTGTTTGACCGTGGTTGTCAAAAAAGTGTTGGTGGGGGACCGCCTACACCCTATCTAGTAAGAAAACATATAGGAAATAGTATAGGAATGGCTAATCACGCCGCGCTTTTCGTGAGGAGTTGTGGAACCCATGCGGCCTCGGATTAGTGCAAGAAACAGGGGACAGAGGCCTAGCAACCCTAGTAACGGCTGCGCGCTGCGCGCGCACGCCGCCTGGCAATTTGCGACCGCACGCTGCAGGCAGTACGCAGCAGGCAGTGAAGCAACTGCTGCTGGAGTATGTAGCTCCACCACCCTTGCTGCCAGGATGGATGCGGGTGGCATCCGGGTGGCACGTACGCGGGTAGCGGCGGCGGTGTTGCGGCGTCGCGGCCGCTACTCGTCATTCCGCCAACGACCACACGGCGGCGCAGAGGGACCACCAGAGCTCGACCAACGGCACGGCAGTCCCTTCCGGGTCCTCCCGTGGCTTTGACTAAACAAGCTTGAAACTATTGTGCATACAAACACATAACTTGTATACAAGCAGCTTGTAGCTGCTGGAAGGTCAAGCTGGGATGTTCGGTAGAAAAATGCATGCGAATGCAATACTACTGTATGTATAGTGTATGTATCATCGTGGATCGTGGGTCGTGGATCGTGGAATGTGGGTCAAGCAGAGGTCCCCCTCCCTTTCTTTGTACCTCTTGCACTAGTGCAGCTGCGGTGTGCCAGCGTAGTACTCACCAATGTTGTCGCCATGAAGGGTGAACATCTGTAATTAGGTAAACCGCACGTAACCTGAGACCCGGGGAGCACTCTGCTGTGATTGGCAACGTCGGTGAGTCGGTGATGCACCTCTCGATCGATGCAGCAGCAGCAACATATGATCACCCGGCATACACTACATAATAGTCTATCTATGCTTAGATGCTATCGCCGTTGGGTAAAAGAGGCCTTGTTTTGCAAGCATCGTGCTAACGACTCAATCCAAGAGTTGTTGGTTTGTAAAAATGCTCCAGTACTGCTGTTGTTTGTGCGTACATCTGTAGTAACTCGACCACCGGCGAAACAAGACAAAAACAAGCGGCAGCACGCGCGCCGTGGAGGGGAGGGGGGGGTGGTTTTCGACGACGGCAGGGGTCTCATACAATCCTCCGATCAATCGCATCGACCGTTGTATGCACGGTGGGAAGACGGCTTTCCCGTATCTAAGCAATTAACCACGGCGTTAAAAGAACTTCAAACTTCAAACTGTATCTAACAAACCCGTCAATCCCACCTTGACCGCACATGGTCACCTCGTTCCCCTCGGCAATAATGAGAAGGTTCTACAGTATAGAACAACACGTTCGTCAAAAAGACGAACCACGCGATAAGCAGACGTAATCGACGCACGGCTTGGTGAGGTCTCTGCAATCTGCCCCGTCACAACAACACCAAGTAAAAAAGAACCGCTAAAACACACCGCCCAAAGAGAAAGAAAAGGAACAGAGAGTTCCTGTGCTGTGTGGGACACTATTGTTTTTCCAAGTACTGGAGCGGGAGGACCCAGACCGCCTAAAGCAGGCCATGCTCGCGATGGCTGAAGTGTTTGTATCGACAAAAGTGTTTTTGGTGGTGCCCATGTACATAGGCATCTTGAAAAAAAACGAGAGGGGTGCATTGATTCTCTGTACGGAGATGGTGGGTGGCCCAGGAGGGTGGTACATGGTGCCGAAACCGTGACCGTTGTTTCGGCCACGAAGCAAGATAAGGGCTGCAAGCCTATTTTGCGAGCATTTGAACGAACCTGACATGTAAGCACGGTTCAAGCAGCCTTCGTTGGTTCGGGGGCCACGTTTGAGAAACAGTAGTTGAGCTCAACCGCACCTGTGGCGCCCCCAGCACCGAAAATGCACCGAATCCCACGCCCGTAGGCTTATCTATGGGAGGGGAACAGGCCGTGTACCACCCTATCAGAGATGTTTTCCCCCCCGAGAACGAGACAAAGCATGGAAAAACGAATACATTCGTGAACCGTAGGTATATTCGACGGTGTCTGGACCCGATAATACCGCGCGGGTGTCGTTTGTCTGTGCCTGAGCACGGGGTGGCCATTCTCGACTTCTTACCGTCAACGGTAAAAACCTTAAGGTGGCCGGTGGGGGCAAAACACGTCAAGTCGTGAGGAAAACTCCGTTTAGCTTCGGAAATTTTGCTTTGCCAAGCTCCGTCTTGGTCCAAGACAACCGGGAGAAGCCTCAGATAGGAGGTGTCAGGTCGTTGGCTGCCCTCTTGTCGCCGTCGAGGAAAAGCGCAACACTATTGTTTTTCCAAGTACTGGAGCGGGGGGACCCAGACCGCCTAAAGCAGGCCATGCTCGCGATGGCTGAAGTGTTTGTATCGACAAAAGTGTTTTTGGTGGTGCCCATGTACATAGGCATCTTGAAAAAAAGCGAGAGGGGTGCATTGATTCTCTGTACGGAGATGGTGGGTGGCCCAGGAGGATGGTACATGGTGCCGAAACCGTGACCGTTGTTTCGGCCACGAAGCAAGATAAAGGCTGCAAGCCTATTTTGCGAGCATTCAAGTCGCCGGGTACTCTCGTTTGGCCGTCGAGATGAATGGACCGAGAGTTATTTTGCGTTGAAATGATAACACCTTGTGTTTCCCAGGCCTGAAGTATGTACCACAACGCCTAGCGCTTAAAACGACCTGTGGAAGGGTCATGTACATTTCACCACCGCACGCCGCTGGCTCAAGCTTCACGGTCCACGGAAGCATGAAACACAGTCAGTCAGAACCGATTGAGTCAAGGCACGCCTTTAGTCTCCTCTTTCCGGTGCTTGCTATCATACACGGCTAGGGGAAAAGCACTTCGCCCTGCTCGCCCTCCACAATCCGGAAACGAAACTAACATGGAGCAAAGTTATGTGCATCTGGTCTCTCGCGTGAGCACGTCCGGTCAACAACACGTGTGACGCATGTCGGTTTAACTGGCTCGAAGCGCTTGTTCTGTTTTGATAATCCGGCCGGAACTTCTGAACTCAGCTCGTAGCGACACGAAAGCTATCGCGAAAATCAAGTCCTGTTGTTCCGTACTTCTCAGCCCAGGATGTGTTGCTCGATTTGTTGTTTATTTTACGCACGTACTTCAAATACGGTGTCGCCGTTTTCCAACGTGCTTGGAAGTTTCCGTTGTGTCCAGAAATATATACGGGCTGCCCCAGTCGAAAGCATGTTTGCATGTTTACTCCGTAACACACAGCTAACCACCGGCACCTCCTTCAACCCTCTCGCGCCTCGGCAAACCACACTCGCGCCTCGGCAAACAACATTGTCTAGTCGTTGACAAAAAGCACAAAATGGAGTAGACACGAAAATAGCGCCTCAGCCCCGTGATGACCCAACGGTGCCCGCCCAACAAATGCCCTACACTGGTTGACGTCTCCGTAAGGCTACGCGGAATGCCAGAAGGAATCAGCACACTGCGAAAACTCAACGCTCCATCACTGAGCTTAAAAATACAAGGTCAAGCCTCCCAAAGCAATCAAACACGCGCACTAGAGGCTTCGAGCAGAAGCACCTGCCGCACGTCCAGAGAGCAGCGTGGCACCCCGGCACACTATACGGGGTGTGGACCGCAATCCCCTTCAAGAGGACGCCTAGGAACTGCTTGTTGTACTTCCTATTCTGGAGCTCGTTGATGACGCTGAGCGAGTACGCGAAATTGGGAAAGGTCATGTTGTCGATGGACCGAAAGTACACAGCCTTAACCCCATGGTCCGACTCGTGCCGGGTAAGGTTGACTCCAGCAATGTCTTTGCACGTCGTCATGCGGCTGTACTTTGCCCGACACTCCGGCCCGTGGTTAGACTCGTGGTGCCCATCCGGCCCAATCCGCATTTTCCTCGGGAAGGCGTCCCCTTCGGAACCTTGGTACCTGGTGTCGTGGAAGGTCGCATCGTAGCCAGCCACCTTGTCGCCCGTCGTGGTCTCGTGCGGCGCGGCATTCGGCGCCAGCCCGAGCTCCAGCGATTTTAGCGTGAAAACACCCCGCCCAAATCCAATTCCTCCGCGAACAGCGATACCTGGCAACACACGGACGCAGTCATGAAAATCGGTAGAGGGTGCCCGACTTTACGGACATGAAAACGGCCTCAGACGGCACGCATTTATTGCAAGGGGCAGGATTGAAGATGTGCCATTCTGTTCGAGTAAATGAACCGTCACCTCACACGTGGTACCCTCGCCCTGTTGCAAGTCAACTGCCCGGCCGCAGTGTACCTCGACTACGTTTGTTAGCGTTTCGAAGACAAGACAAGGCGCCACTAATACAGAGGAAAATGAACGCCCTTGACAACGCTGCGACTGGACTGAAGGCATGCCATACGGTCAACGTTCTTGTACACTGCACGCCGTCAAAACGTCGGTATACGACATGGATCTATACAACGAGCGCGCGAGACGTGACCAGCGTCTGCATCCTGAGCAGGAATAGCAAGCGGGGGCTCCGATTGAAAGGGCACTAACTGAGGTACGACTGAGAAATCCCCCTACCCGTACACACCTGCTCGCTGCCGCGCTTCTGGAGTTAAGGGCCTGAGGCCATCCACGACGAACTTCTCCTTGGCCTGCAAGCACGGTGGCAGGGAAGTGTACGCCGCATCAACACGTGCGCAAAGCAACAGAAGCAGAACAGGCCTTGTGGATCAAACCATGTTTTCTACGTGTTGGTTGGGGGTTAGAACGCAAGACGGAAGGAAGAAACCGCGTGGCGTCCCGTTGAGTTTTCGCCCTGCCGTTGACAAATCTGAAGTCGCTGTGTAGATGCCCTACGAATGCCAAGACTTACAGCATGTCGTGGCACATGATTTTCTTAGCTCCCGGGATGGGGTGGGCGTTCATATCACACACTAAACCCCAAAAACGAGAAAAAAAATAATAATGATGGGATAGGTCAAACGTTGTGTGATTGCATGTACACCAGCT